AAAAAAAGAAAGATAACCAATGAAATGAATAATATGGAGCATTCTATACCCTCTCTGGAGCTTGAACAGGCTGAAGAATCTCCAGATCAAAGAGTTAAAGAGCTAGAAAAAGAGATTGCACAGATTGAATCCAATACTAGAATGAAGATTAAATCTCTAGAAAACAGAGTCAAAGAGCTAGAAGAGGAGCTTTCAAACACTTCCAAATTAATAGCTTGCAAAGATACTGAGCTGTCAAAGAAATCATTTTCATATATTGAGTTGAAAGTAAAGCCAAATACATTTAAATATATGTGTGGTTTGTCAGTTGAGCAGTTTGAATTACTGTGGAAATGTATAAAACCTTACAGTCATTTGATTAGGTATTCAAATCAGGCAGAAACTTGCAGAAGAAAGGGACGTTTGCTTGACCAAGAAACAGAACTTCTCTCAGTTTTGACATGTTGTAGGGATGGTCTTGATCTTGGCATAATTGCTTATATGGCTGGCATCAGTGAAACAACAATGCAGCGTATCTTTACATCATGGCTTCCATTTCTTACATCTTTATTTCAGTGTATTGATCTGAAACCCATGCCAGGGTTTATTAAGAAAATGATGCCAAAGATTTTCATGGACACAGGACATAACTTAACAGATCAAATTGGGGACTGCACAGAATTCAAGCTACAAAATTCATCCAACTTTGAACTAAACAGCCTAACATTTTCAGATTACAAAAATACAACTACAGCAAAAGCATATGTGGGAATTGCACCTCATGGTGGAGGACTGATCTTTAGTGATCTATATCCTGGTTCAATATCAGATTCTGAGATTACAAGTTCATGTAATGCTTTAGACTTGGTTGAAGGTGGCCATGAACTTATGACAGACAAAGGATTTGCAGTACAAGAAMTCTGTTCAGAGAGAGGAATACTACATAATAGACCAGCAATGAAGTCAAATGACCAGTTTAATGAAGTAGAGGTAGCTGATAATTTTGACATTGCTTGTTTACGTATACATGTAGAAAGGTTTATTGGGAGAGTAAGAGACTGGAGCATCTTGAACAAGGTCTGGCCTGTACAGAGGATGGACCTGTTGGATTGTACATGGAAAGTGATCTGYAATATTGTCAACTTATGTTGCGAACCCATTGGCCCAAAACAGCATCATTCCARTAAACAATAAATRCARAWTTGCATGTTCATTTTTGGGCAGCTAAGTGTTGATGYAGTTAATATTGTACAATGTGTTTTCAATATTACATTTTTGCTAAASTCAAAGGTTAAMWGTAGGAAATACAMAGATTTTACTTTATTTAAACAATTATTATTGTTCTTCTTCAAAGTGACAAGTGTTTTTGCATCAATATRCCAGGCTTTATAAAGTATCACTAATAGAGCAGAGTCACATGAACCATGAAATAAAAATTAAAAAGTACTAACTAATAGGCTCTATTAGTTCCAAATASTCATTAGCACTGAACCAGAAYAGTTTATTTGATCCAATAAGTAATACCCAAGAGACCACTATAACAATCAAAGTAATCTCTTTTCTTTATTCTTTGTACTGTTCTGGTTCAGTGATAGTGTCTAAATTGTGCCTATTTGTTACTAAGTATTTAGTGTCTATTTCATGGTTCAAGTGACTCTGCTCTATTTAAGTAAGTATATAATCTTAACTACACAAAGTCATACTTAACTACATTTTTAACAATTCTCAATGAAGGTTTTTCATTCCGCAAAGTTAAACTATTTTATAACTTATCATTTTGTCTAAACTATATCCATGAACATTTGGTATACATGCAAGTTCAATTTGTGAAACGTTTGTTAGTACAGTGCTATCCTACTAGTACTATTGAAAAGTAGAATTTGGTATCATAGATRTTAAAAGTCTACTGACCCAGGGTTTTTTTACTTTTTGAAATGGACATTTGGTGATGCTTTTGCTAGCTTGTTGACATATTTTCTTAAAGACTTTAGTAAGTTAAATGTTGGTATAGCTCCAAAGAGATCTTCTCCAAGGGAATGTAGAAAAGKTGTTTCATGGAAACTCCAGGCTTGAATTGCTTCATCTTTTAGTATGCTATCCATTATAAGTTTAATGACTGACAGGAGGAGCTCATCCTTTCTAATCATGAAGTAAGATGCTGTACTTGTTTCAGGGTGAAATGATTCAATTATGACGTAATGAAACCCTGTACATGCCATTTGTAGTTGAGCTTGAAGTAAATGTTCTCCTTTGATTTTCTCAAGAGGCCCCTTTGAATTTTCTGCTCTTGTCTTAATTTCTAAAAGAATTGGCCCAGGGCAAATAGYATCAGGACTTGCTCCATATTTGCTATCTTCAGGGTGTGTAAAAAATCCACATCTACATGCAACTGAACCACTTTCTTTTTCAAAGAATGCTACTGCTTTTCCTTCAAAAATATGACCACGTTCAAAGTTTCGGAACTTAGTAGGAAACATTATTGATTCATTCTGATTATTTTTGATGCAGTACCAGTATTTCTTAAATTTATCTTCCCCATGTAAGSCTATTAGAYAAGGTATTTTACTTGCTGTAATTACTCCTCTTCGAAGCTCTTTCCAAGTGTCAGTGTTTTGGTCCACACTATGGTAATTTGTACCTTGTGGTGTAGCAGCATGTTTTCCTTGTAAGTCCAAATAAATTTCAGAGGGAAATTTRCTTAGGTCATTATGATGTGTCCACTGACTTTCAATTTGTTGTTTTATATCTTGGAAATCAGGAATAAAATCAATAAAAATCTTTGGATGAGGTTCAAGTTGTCTTGGTTCATTCTTCATTGTAGTTATGTTTGAATCTGGTGGAGGTGGGGCTAATCTGTTTCCTACCAAACCACTGTCTGCATCATGTTCTTTACAATAGTTATGCTCTAACAAAATAGCTTGTAATGRAATTTGCTCATATTTGTAGCTTAGATGTAGTCCAAGTGAACTTTTCCTTCCAATAACACTTGATTTGAGTTCATCATGAAAATGTTTCTCAATRTTCAATAAACCAATACTTTTAAAACTATTTCTGTATTGTTCAATGTTTTGTTCTATATTTCGTTTGAGTCCTGACTTATCCAGATTTTCTGGTAAGAAGTTGTCATTGTTAGCAGTTGATGCTTTACTTCTCTTCTTTATTTTAGCAGATGGAACATGAACTAATTTTTGAACAGGAATCATTGGCAAAGAACCCTTTCCTTTTTGTCCTTTTTTATGCCACCTTTGAAGCTGTTGGGTGCATGTTAACGCCAAAACTTTAACGTCATGTAAGTGATAATATACTAAGAAATATAAAATGCATATTACGTGACAACATATGCCAGAGAGACCGACAGGGCAGGTACAGTGACCTTTTTGTGGAATTCCAGATTGAAACTTTATCACAGCTRGTCTTGACGCATTCCCATACGATTTTCTGATTTGAGCCTTAACAAATGTCTCCTCCCCTTTAGCAAAAACTTTCACTGAAACAATTTTGTGGCTTACAAAGAGTCTATGCGCTTTCTCTTGCTGTCCAAGGGAGCCTTGACGCTTCTGACTACAGTACTTTTSAAATATTGCTCTCGTAACTTTTGRGTAATTCTCATCTTTCCACAAAACAGTATTCGGAGGGATATCATTTGGATTCAAAGCCGTCGCAAAGTTGTATTGACRATTTACTCGATGCTTTAATTTCTTTATCAACGAAGGAAATTTCTTGTACTTCGTAACTCTAGTAAGAAGTTCCTCTTTTGTTCCGGTGTGGCGCACTCCAATTCCATTCAGCCATTCGATACATTGTTCTTTCGTCCACTGAGAAACTGGTAAATTCTGAACTTTGCCTTGTTTTGACTCCATACAAAGCTAATATTATGCTTGGGTTCTATGACTCATTTAAACTATAATATTTGCTGAACTTTTTAAATAAAAGCGACGAAATACCAACAACAATGACTTCTTGTCAAATCTGTGCGCGGGAAAAGTACACCCTCTTGTCCCCCCAAGGCTTACTAGTCACCAGGTCCCCGCGCGACCTGCATGTGGGCAATTACGAGATTAAACCATTACCCCTTTCCAGAGAACTGATTCCTTCACCTAATTCGCTTAAAAAAAGAGCAGTCACGCCAAAAACAAATCATTTTTTTGCAATATTGCTAAATATTACGTACATTTTCATAATTAAAGTCTTTGCAAAACTTTTAATAAATACTTGCTATGGTTCCGAAAAATAACATTTGCTTCT